TTACCTTAATTATCTTAATTGGTTAGGATATTCAAAACATAATTAACAGTAATGCGGACTTAGTTTAGAGCTCCAGTTTCTGCTCACTTAAAAATTAAGTATTACAAAGTGAATTATATTTGTTTATACTTTAATCTTTTCTCGTTGGCCAAATATAGTCCTAAATATTTATACTGTGACATGGCTGCTCACATTTTATTATACTCTATACATGAAATCTACAGGAGTATATTAGGTTTGCGCGAGCTGAAAAATGTAACAGGCAGAAGGAGGCGTGGCAGACCCCACAAAGTATATATACAAGTATTCTTGATCAGCATGACGAGACGAATCGATCTAGCCCTGTCTGTGTGTCCGTCAATATTTTGACACTCGGTTACTGCAGCTCTGCCGGCAGCGCTGCCCGCAGCTGTTGCTGTTGTTGCTGCTTTGGTTCAACTTTGTGCTGCATGCATACACGCATAGACCCGATGATGTAAATGTATGCTGTTGAAACTGTACATAATCATGTCTTCTATGTATATATTAAATAAATTTGATTTAATTGGCTTGCTCGACAGTAGCGTTCTGTTGTTGTTTTCTTTACACTTTTGAACTATTATTAATTCATGTTATTCATGTTAATTTTTTGCAATCAAAAGAAATTGAACTAATTTTTTTTTTGTAATTTTTCACCATTCTTCATAGTCGAATTGTAATCTCAATCGTTTTCAAATGCGAAAGAGGCAATGATTTGAATGGCTCTATATGGTACAGGTCAATGGTATAACATAAGGTTTGGTATAAATTTGAGTTTTCCAACTTATGGCAATTACTTCACACTTCATAGCCTTTTGTAAATTCAATGACAAGAATGAAATGAATGAAAGAATTCACATATCAGCCCAATACTGTCTTTTTTGTGTTCCTGTAGCACACAATTCTTTCCTATACCTTGCATTCCTCTTTACAACCAACTGCCATTTGCTTACATTTCAATAAAACTGCAGTCACCAAAGCAACAAGAACAACAGAATTGCATTGTTTTTCCAAGGAATTTATATGAAATATACATGAGACGGTTAGTTGAGTTTATAAGAGAGAAAGCTGAGGAAGCTAGAAGCCAGAACAGCTACTCATGTCTACATAGCGCACAGGGTATTGCGGGAGGAGCTCTCCAAAGGCATCGAGGAGTGTGGCACCAGCAGCTTGGAAAAGTGCAAGTAAAACTTTAATGCAGTACAATTTATGCTGAGGCTATAAGTTTAGAGCATATATTTAAAATGTAGGATACACATCCACGAAAATCTGCTAAAGTACAAAAAGGTAACTGAGAAAGTTGGCAACCACAAGCTATAGTATAACTAGTGAATATTGCAACTCCATTTTCAATATCAACTTAACTATACTTACAAAAACTACTACCTAAGCTTCAATGATTGTCGTCCGACTCCTTTGCTCAGGGCGTCGTTACACTGTATACAATTCGGCAACCATTTTTCTTTGCGAGCCAATTCCATTACGGAAAAACAAAATCCTAAGCCTAATTAATAAACAGCTGCAATTTGTTTATTTACCTGAAATCTTTAAAATCTTTCTATTTTTAATTTCCACCAGGAAACCATGCAATATTTATTTGATTGCATAATTTGCAATTAACCTCCAACCAGAAACAAAAACAGGAAAAACAACACAGTGCCTATCATAAAGATGCGGATGTAGTGCTATTACTTCAACCAACTGTCTAACAATTGATGAATCAACTACATTGGAAATAAGGATTTTTTTTTGTCTATTTTTATAGCATGGAAAATTCGAATATTGTATCATTCTGAAACGTAGTAGAGGAACCAATGCAATAAAGCCAATTATCAGAAATGCAATGTAGAGCAGGGCTCAAACGTAGCTAAAAGAATTTAATAAAGAAAACTTGGAAAATACTAAATTTTTTAAATCTTGCTACTCATTGACTTGTATGCTGAAGCGGTGGATGCTAATGTCTTTGTTGCGCAGTCCACAGTGCGTATGAGTAATGCGACGTGTTGGCGCGCAGGTAACATGTTATATCATAAAAGAAATGTATTCATAAAACACACCTTAAATTCCATGAGTACTCGTAATTTATATTGCTGAACATGCTCCTTATACGCCATCCTATATGCCTCGTGGTCGAAATCATATTACACAAACGCCACATTAGCAAACTTTTATGAAGCACTAACTTAAACAAAATTTTGCAGATTTGGGAAAATTTACAGTATCGAATTCAATTTTTTAATATGTGTGTATGCTTACATAACCATAACAAATTCCTGTTATTGTTATTACTGCCATCATTTTTATTTCACTACATCTCTACCCGGTATATAATCATGAAATGAACAATATTAAGGTAAGAAAACCACATGGCAAGGGTGTGGGAAAAAGTCGACGTATAAGTTGTTGTTATCGGGGTCTTGTTGATTAATTATTGCTAGGGTACCTTGAGAAAATTTAAAAAGCTTGGGCTAAACAATTTAATACGTTTATTTTGAAATCATGTTCCAACAATACTTGTAACAACCAACTGTAACTAATTTGATAACAGCGCATCAAAGAATTTGAAAAAAAAACCGTTTGCTGCCGTTGAATCCTTTTCTGTCGGTTTTCATTTCGGCTTTTATTCGTCAACAGCCAGCAACTGGTAGCTTACGATACCTCATAAATCAAAGCTCATAAATTTTATTATTATGCGTTTTATTGTTGGCGTACATTAAACTTTTCGGTGGTGCCAATGGCGATGTGGCTGACGTAAGCGGGTCTTCAAATCCCCAGACATCATACATGGCAGCGTAAGTACATAAGCAAGTATATTTATAATGCTTTTAGCACCGCATTTTATTAGCTCTGTAAAATAATGTGATTGGGGTACACACATACAAGCATACACTGTAACCATGTAGTCATACGTTTGTGGCATTCAAAAATAAAAAACCGCAGCGAAATTTTTAAAAGACAAATGAGCACTGGGAATTTAAATTATTTATGCGTACGAGGCGCGGCTATAAATTTATTGCTTATACTTATGTACGAGTATATAGAGAGAGTGAGGAATTATGTGCAAATCAACAAATGATAATAAACGTATCAGCATTAAGATGCTGCATAAGTCCACTTGGTTGATTTTGCATTCTATTTTAGCCAGCAACTAACATTTTGCATTCTTTTCTGAAAAATCTTAAAGATCGATTCAGAACTGGAGCTCCTCTCGCATCGAAAGGATCTGAATTGGTGAGGATAGACCTGGAAGGAATGCCTTAACATAAAGAATTTCAACCTCAACATATTTTTGTGAATTACATTAAGCTTAAAAGACATAAGGAACAAAAAGAAACCGACAAAACTCTTTAGCAGTGGAAGTAGGAGCCCGTCTATGCCGCTTCGAACGCAATAGGGACAACACAACTTATTTCCGTTTACAAGCCGACAAGTTCGTTCTTTTAGTAAAATACACCTACAACGAAATTCAAGTACATGTACATTCATAAGTGAAATTCTCCCATCGAGTCGGATTCGTTCTAAGATTCATTCAAAATTTACGTTGCCCTTTTTAGTTTTTAGCTCCCTGCAGTGAGCAGTGCACTGTTACATTGTTTTCGAATAGAATAATATATATATATTAAAGATAGCCCTTGACTTCGCTTCAAATAAATAAATAATTAAATGCGAAACTAAACTACCGCGAATTTTATTAGGTTTTCAACTTTTCATAGCAAGGAAGCGCCTCCTATGTGTTGCAATTTTAAAAGCGCTTGATTACTAGTGGCACAGGGACATATGTTAAAACAACCAATTAATTGAATTAATATTTAAGTGTTGCTTGGGAGAAACCGAAACAGCATACAGAGTGCATTGTCGACTTCCATAAGTATGCAACACTTTTTGTCGTCAGCCACATTACACCGTTGCAGGATTCCTGCTGGTAAAGTTGTTGTTATGTTTGCTGCCATATTTGCTGCTGCGGCTTCGGCTTCTTGTTGTCGGCTTGTCATCTGGCTGGTATTAATTAAATGCAATTTGAATGAGAATTTCTCGTGCCTCGAACAAGCGCACACAGAAATATTTATTGCTTGAACTGTATAAAATGGCTACAACAAAGTACTACAGATTTAAGGACAGTTGTACACACAGCAGGACATTGCGGTGGATACAGGATATGGTCACTTGAATGTGCGCATGCAGCCTTTAATATTTGCGTGTGTAATATTTAATTGAATGATGTTTTTGCTGAATTAGTGCATCAGTACGTGTTGATCGACTGTAACGATGTACTATATTCTTGGTTGGAGGCGCCTGTTGCTGACACTTTCGCATGAGAAGATCTCATTACATATAATGAGGATAAGTTATTCCCCAAATGTTTATACCCTGTACCCGTAGGGTAAAAAGGGTATATTAGGTTTGTGCAAATTATGTAACATGCAGAAGGAAGCATCTCCGACCCCATAAAGTATATATATTCTGAATCAGAGAAATCGATCTAGACATATCCGTCCATCCGTCTGTCCGTCTGTCTGAATGAACGCAAGGATCTCGGAAACTATAAAAGCTTGAAAAACCAAAATTGGTATCCAGATTCTCCTAGGTCCGAGAAAGGACGAGTTTAAATATATTTTTATTCTTTGAATTTTCCCTCCCTTCCCCCGCTACAGAATTTCCTCAATGCCGCCCACATTTCAAAAACCTAAACCTACCTAAACCAAACTTTGCACATTTAATAATTATCTAATTTTAATTAATAATTAATACTTTTGTTTCAAATTTCATCTAAATCGGTTAGTTATATGAGAAGTTATTAGCGAAACAATTTCACTCCGGTACTACGCCCACAAGCTGCAGCATCAAGTTCGCTCTTCTTCCTTTTGCTTCTGCTATAGGCGCATATACCTCAGTGTCGGAAGTTTACCTGGGTACAGGGTATTTCACTGGCGGGCTTACTCGACTGTAGCGTTCTCTCTTGTTTTCATTAAAAATATATTTACCAGCTGTTTCACTCGAATGCATTTTCCCAAGAATTCCTGCACCTGTGCTGCAAAGAAAAATAACAATAATAGTAATCAGTGTTTTCCTACTTGGATCAAGTGTCAGTTATGTAAACCGCACGGTAAGAATATAAAAGTGAACAAAGTATGAGTTTAAAAATACTGTCAAATATGTTTTTCATCATTTCATTTAACTACAGTAGTTTTGTTAATGTATGTTAATCTTAAGGTCTTAAATGTTGCGAATATAACTGTTTAAAGATATTAATGAGTTATCAAAATGTAATCATTTAAATAAAAACAACTAGAGGCTGTAGATAATCTTAGAAATACATAGTCTGTGTTAATTATTCAAGGTGCCCTGATCGTTGTAAAGCAAATATATTATTATAATGTATATTATATTTATATGTAATTATAAAAGTGAATCTTAATAAAGTTCCAATAAGAAATGTTTCGGTATGACAAATATATTAGAATTATGATTATAAAAATTTTAAATTCCGATTTACGAGTAAAAATGAACCGGTTACAGCGTATATAAGAGTCGGGCGCACTCTAGCGTTTGAATCATTTGGTTATCTTTCTTGATTATAAACCATACGCATGGGCATTAGATTACGTTTAATAATAATATTTGTCAATCAAATGCATGATTGCTCTGCAGAAGTAATTGTAGTCATTTAAAAGAGATCAGGAATCCGTTCATACAGTCATCGACGGGCTAATGTACTATAAATATGTTTTCTATGTGAAAATACTACTGCGGAGTATTCTTCATCTGGTGCTTCTGATAATGGTGATTGGTTACCATCATAATCAGAAACATATTGTGTGTACATACATATCCACAAAAGAATTCATTTTAACAAATCTGAATATCTGATAATTACTGGTTGATGCTAAATTCGAGTTCACTAATGTCAAGTGTACGCCCCTGGATGTTAACTTTGCAGACTTTGAATTTTGCTAATCGCGCTTACAAATATTTTTCGCTAAAAGCGAAACTTTATAAATACCAGTCACAAATATTTCGATACAACAAATAAAAGTGGACTTAAGTCACACAATATTAAATTTATTAGGCACAATTTCAGGTTCGTATTCAGCTGTTTCAGCGCCTGAACGTATACAAACCGTTTCTTTACAATTTTACGGTTGATGCTTGCAAATACTTTCTAAAGCCGGGTAATCCTTTAGTAAAATTTGTTTACAATACGTTCAAGCCTTATTAACCACAACCATATAATGCACGTTTTTTGGTGTCTCTATGTTTAATTATTAAACAAATTTAGGAGTTTTTAAGCATTTCTTTCTTTCGAGAAGCTTCCAATCAACTACATAATTGTATTTAAATGACATAACAACTAAAGTTTCACCAATGTGTATTTCACAATTTCCTATAGCTGTATGCACTTTCAATATTAACTCGATTATAAATAATAAATTATAATTATAAATTATAATAAAAAAAAATGTTTTTAGTGGAAAACAAGTGCGAAAGCTAAGGCCGTGTGTCCCAACTTTACAATATAGTATAGTAGTAGTATATATTGTATATGTGTAGTGTATGTACAGGGTGCGAAATCTTTTATGTCGGTATATAAATATTTAGTAGTAGCACTAGTTGTGATCTGTGTTCCAAATCAGCGTCTTCACTGCAAGCGAAAGCTCTGACCTGATTTCTCCTACAATCTGTATCTCTCTTAAATTAATCGATAATACTTGGGACAGTGGGTGGCAATTTCTCCAGGAATATAATTTATTAAAAATATGAATAGTCAACTGTATAAGTTAATCTGTAAATTAATTTTAAATTAAATTTGTAATTTCAGTCAAATTTTAGCATTGGCGCAGAACTTTCTTGCCGTACTATAATTCCATCATTTTCAAATTGTATTTTAAAGTGTTCAATACAAAGCATAGTTCGAAATTTAACAAAATATGTGTCTGAAATGAAATATATCTAGGAACTTCCCAAAGCCCGCAGCACGGTGTTGCAGAGAATTAAATGTTACGCTTAGCAAGGGACATGTCTATTGCATCATTAATAATAGCATTTGGTTTTGACAGATTTCAATCACTAGCTCAGGTTCCACACCCCACTCCGGCTGTCATACTGCTATGGCAGCCGAAAAAAGAAGACAGCGAAGAAAGCAGATGTTCGTATATGCTTGGCCTCGACCGGATAGCAAGAGATTTGCATAGAATGGCAATTGCATAAAACTACCATTAGGGCTGTGCACACAAACATACACAGATCCATAGACATTCAAGTGAAAGACTACTTTACTTTTTTTTACGCATCGTCAAAGAGTTACAGAGAAAACGTGCCCAGCATCTAAAGAAGCTGTTTTTTATTCAATGTAAAGCTCAATGCAGTGCTAAAACCTATACTCAGATGTGCAGCAATAATAGATTAAATGCTATTTAATATTTAATTTCTATGCGTCTGCATCGCTGCAGACAGTCATAATTAAACAATTACACAAATAAGCAGGTCACGGTGTCAGCAAAAGCTTGTCCCCATCCGTGCTGAAATGTTTGTATTTAACCCTGGATGGTTGTTCTTCGTCGAATCGAGGAGGCACATTTTGTAGAATTTTATTGAATACTTAAGCTGTTTGTTTTGTGCTCATTTGAATAGTGCAGATGACTAGGCCTTCCGCAAGTAGAAGCTCTAACAATTACTACTTTAGTAAAAACAAGTTTTTTTAACAAACAAATTTAAAATAATGTTAATGAAACTAAGTTTTTTGTTAAGTTTTAATTATTTCGTATACAATAAAATGGTTTCGCCATTACAAGGAGGACTACTTGAAGCTTAGTCGAAAAATATGTATGAGGCCGTTATGTGTTGATTTGAATTGCATAATGAATTAAATAAACAAAATTTAAAAACTAAAAATGTTGTGCTCTGCTATCAATCAGTAACAGTTTAAAATCGATCGTAGTCGTTTCGACGAAGAACAACACTACGGTTGTAAAATACGTTAAATAAGAACAACCATCTAGGGTTAAAGGTGAAATTATGCGTCGTAACACTCCGCCAAAGTTTGTTTCGTCGTTACGGATAATAAATATGCATACCCATCCATATATCCACTCATGAGCTATGGCGACCGTAAATCTGTTTAAATTAAGTGCGCCTACTGCACACAGGTGTGCCTACTTGTGCGCGTCCTTTGTTTATCCTAATTACATTTTAATTTTAATGTTCAGTAATTGGCAGTTTTATCCATAGTATATTAAATAATAAGGAGTGTTCAATATTACAGCTGTGCGAAACCGACAGTAACATACCCTATTATCAAGAAAAACGTACGCAGTGGATTACAAGTGTTATAAATGCGCATACATACTTTTATGGCTAATGTTGAGAATATATACCAATATATATATATATATATATATATATATATGGGCATGAACATTGTGTTAATATGCTCAACATATAACTCTTGACTAGCCCTATATTTGGTGCTAAGGTTGATTTTGGGCAACGGGACAAACGGGGCAAATAAGTTGTTTTTGCGGCCACTAGTTCGCTGATGATACAGTGCCACCTTTGAGAAACTTGGCTTGCCAAAAAGAGACCAAGGCTTGACTTTCAAACAATATTAATATTTCACATTGGAATATTAGGCAGTTGTCATTATCGAATAGAACAAAAAGAATCAAAATATCCAACATTATAACTGAACACACTGTAAATTAATAAAGAACAATTAAATTCATAATTAATGTGTCACACTAATTTCCTATACTTTAACTGCTAACTGGTTTGATTGCCGCGTTTCTCAATTCGTTCCAAGCAGCCAATTGAAAGCTCCATTGTCAAAAATTCCCACTGCATGGCAGTGCTGTAGAATTCTAATCAATACTGCTTCTTTTAAATATTATGGCAAGCCGGCAATACGTCAGATACAGCTGAGTGCCTATCAAGCTATAGTTGTGTGAGAGTAGCACACTTTTTGGGACTCGCCGCAACATTTTAATATTTAAAATATTATTAAGAGCGCACAAAACTTAGCTGCTAGCCTGAATATTTTAACAGATAACAATAATAATAGTACGTATAAGTAATGCTAAAGGCATAGCTCAGGTGAAAATCCTTTAAAAATACACTTTCTACACTCGCAAATTTATGCCAAGCACAATCTTTAAACGCACACATACACTTCGATCCTGAGTGGATTTCAATGTTCGTTGGCTTAAAGTCTAGAAATGCAAATTCAAGTGTATCCACACACTGTGGCTTGCTGAATAGCTGACAGGATGATTGTGTAGCCACCAAGCCAGGTAAGTCCTTAATCGGAAACAATGTGCAGATGACAGTCTCTGCTCGCGAATGCTAATTTTTAGCTTTTAAACGCCACACGTGCCCGAAATATACAATAATTTTCATCAGCTTAACTGAAAAAGTATAACAAACACAACAACACTTAGAAAAATGTCAACAACCAATAAATATTCTTTAGCCGCATATATGACAGATTTGAACAAAGTTGTGACTTCCGTTTTCTTGTTTTGAGTCCAAACTAATCTTCAAATTAGAAATACAAGCTTTCATCAGAATAAGGAGTGATTTATTATATGATAAGCATCGCTAGTAAACATTTATAATTATTCGTAACGATGCAATACATAATCCTTTGTTTATAAAAGGTTTAATGGAATGGAGGTTGATATCGCAAGATATTTATTCTAAGTAATAAAAGAGTTAAGAAATGAAGAATAATCAAGCTCATGAACTGCAACTTCGGTTCATACACTTATTACTATCAATTGTCATGGTGTAACTTTAAATAATGTTGAGACATAATATAGTAAGGTACATAATGCAATACTCTTGATCTTTTAATGTACCCTTTCACCGTCCGAGTACAAATTACAAGAATTCATTTTAATGTTCAATCCCTGAAATAGTACATATAAGCAATTATATACTGACCATCAAGAAAAGCCGCACCTTCCACCCACAATTCACAATCAGCTTGTCGTTCACTTGGATCTTTCAGTCTAGGTTTTTATGACTTTACATGTA